GTAAATTAGAAAGGGTCCAGCAGAGGGCAACAAAAATGATCCAGGGTTTGGAAACACTGCCCTGTGAGGAGAGACTGAGAATACTGGGCATGTTCAGCCTTGAGAAGAGAAGACTGAGGGGGGACATGATATTTATTTGTTTATAAAATTTGTATGCCATCCAATTACTTGCGTCTCTGAACGGCTTACAGCATAAATAAATTGACAACCCACTCTGGCTGCAAGTTAATAAAAATACAACAGTAAAATTCAATATTAAAACATATTAAAATATTGGTTAAATAAAAAGGTCTTAACCTGGCTCCGAAAAGCATATAATGACGGTGCCAGGCGGACCTCTCTGGGGAGCACATTCCATATCCCTCTATAAGTACCTCAAAGGCTGTCACAGAGAGGAAGGTCAAGATCTCTTCTCACTGATACCAGAGCCTCCTCCAGCACCACAAGTCAAAGGCCTCAGTTCTTCGGTGCTCTGCCTTTCTTACAGTCCAGCTCTCACAGCCATACGTTGCAACTGGGAAAACCATAGCCTTGACTATATGTACTTTTGTCGGCAGGGTGTTGTCTCTGCTTTTTAGTATGCTGTCTAGAGTTGCCATAACTTTCCTCCCAAGGATCAAGCGTCTTTTAATTTCTTGGCTGCAGTCACCGTCTACAGTGATCTTGGAGCCCAAGTAAATGAAATCTGTCACTACCTCCATTTCTTCCCCATCTATTTGCCAGGAAGTGATAGGACAGGATGCCAGTATCTTAGTATTCTTAATGTTGAGTTTCAATCTGCTCGTGCAGGGATGGGTTAATAGAACAACGGCAAGGAACAAGCAAGTGCAGCTTCCTCTTGAGTTAATAAGCAAATATTTCTCCTTTTGGTGCCTAAAATAATAATAATGTGCATTGTATGTCTAGCTACACAGCCCTATTAAATAGATGCCTGTCCGTTGGAGATAATGCATGGCATAATCATGCTGGCATAAAGGAGCAAATTTAATGGACAGCCGATGAGTTTTGCTGGCCCACCAGTGTCACTGAAATGCACAAAGGTTACTGTGGTCTGTTTTAGAAAAGGGTATTTGGTTAATGGGGTGCTAATGCTTATACTGGTGCTTTTGCAAAATCAACAAGGGAATAATAACTATATCAACAATGGTTATAATAACTAGGCTCAGGAAGGGATTTTTTTTGAAAGCCAAGCCTGCATTTTCAGTAATTATCTGCTTGCTACTAAATAAATGACTGAAATAAAAGTGCAAACCAGAGACTGATAAACAAGAGATGCTGCTTAAAGAGAGATAAAAACATGGTGACAAAATAGGGGCATTTCACTTCTAAAATGTTAACTTTTTAATGTGCCTACTCCAAGCATTCTCACTAATTAGTTAAAGATAAGCCCATGGACTGTTTGCATTAAAAGTGGAGGAATCCTATAACTGTAGAGTAATAAAGGGTAAATGTCCTGGTTTGGGTTTTCAGGGTTGTGTGTGGCCCTTGAAACTCACGATTTTGGGGAATGAAAGTGTAGATGCAAATAGGGCTGGAGGCTAGTATTTGTGTTTTCTAAGGCTAAGCTTCATGCCCAGGCGTAAGGCTTAATGAACATAGTGCAGCTTAATGATGAGTAGGCACTGCTTGCTCCAGCAGAGCATACAATGGTGCGGGAATGGGGAGACCCACAGTTGAAGGAAGCAGTGCGTCTCTGATGGAAAGACACTGAATTTGGAATTGCGTTGGCTTGGAAAAATGGTGAGTGAGCACAGATGTGGTAGAGGTAATCTGGTGAAGCTGATGGGCGGGAGAGCCAGGACGGATGAAGGGAATCGTTCTTCATATAGTGCACCGGTAAACTGCGGAACTCATTGCCACTTGATTTGGTGATGGTTGCTAACTTGGACTGCTTTAAAGGGGGATAAGACACATTCATGGGTGATCAGGCTACCTGTGGTCATGAGTCATCATAACCATCCATTGCTTCCAGTATCAGAGGTAATATGCTTTGCAATCTTACTTGCTAGGGAATCCAGCTTGGGGGCTGCTGTTGCATGCATCCTGCTGATGTACTTTCCTTAGGCATCTGGCTTGCCACTCTGGGAACATATTGGACTAGATACCTCTTATCTCTGATCAATCTAAGGCCTTATCCAGCACAATTCTTACCTGATTTCTTTCTTTCCATTTCCATCATTTATTTGGGATAATTGCATGCTACTTAACTTTTACAAGATCCTCCAGAAGTTCACCCAGGAACATTAACATCACCTTTCAAATACAGTTAAAATATAATATTGAAACAGTTTCAATCACAGCAATACATAAATTATAATTATGCTGCTCCATTTTAGTTGCTTATTTTAATCGATGTAATCAATTTATTATCATCCTGGCTGAACAAGAGCATTTTCAGGAGGACTTTGAGATTTTTCAGAGTATGTGCATTTTTGGTACAGATTTTTTTCAACTGTGTGCATTTTTGCAAGTTACCTCTTCACAGAATTTCCTCATTTCCTCAAACATGCACCTTTCTGAGCTCCTTCAAATGTGCAAATTTTATGTTCCTTCCTTCCTTCCTTCCTTCCTTCCTATTTCTTTTTTGCAAACGTTATTCCAAATTGGGAAAGTATACATTTTCAATATCTAACCAAGTTCCGGTGCATGGTCCTATTTGAGGAGTGCAAATTTTGTAAGTTCGCATTGCAGTGCACAGCAAATTTTTTTCACCCATCCTTTCTTGAGCCATTTATTACTCTAGACCTATAATAAAGGGATTGATGTAACATAGAAACATAGAAACAGAACGAGTCAGAAGGGTCTCCCGGGCCATCTAGTCTGACCCCCTTTCAACACTATCAGTATTCAGTGTAACGGATGGGCATGGGAAGGGGAAACCAGGCAACTGAGGCATTTTCAGTCTGAAAGTGTCTTCTGACCTGGCTGGATGGATCAGAAATAAGCTGGGAAAGCTAGTCAGGAATTGTCCCTCCTTCTTTGGAAGGGAATTTGAATTGTGATGAAAGGAAGTGTTCCTTTGACCTCTGTCAGCACTTTCCAGAAGGGGAATTATTGGTGGCTTGCTGAAGTTCTAGGGCAGCAGTTCCCAAACTGTGTTCCATAGAACCCCAGGGTTCTGCAAAAGCCTTGTAGGGGTTCTGCAAGAAATCTCAAAAATCAAAGTTAAAACAGATTTTGAAAGGAAACCACACAAGGCAACTATTCAATTGTCAGGACTGGTCAGATCCAGTATTTTCTTGCCCCAAAATAAATGTTTGTGGTTATATCTAATGTTTTCTTGTACCAAAAGAAATGTTTGTGGTTATATTTAAAATGTTTTCTCTTTATTTCCAAACCTACATTATGGAAAGCACTCGGACAATAGAAGCAGATGAAAGAAGGAAGATAGTTGTGGGTAAAAATCAGGGACAGAGTTAGGGTTCCACGGAGAAAAAGGTCTTCGGAAAGGTTCCATGACTGAGAAAGTTTGGGAACTGCTTGTCTAGGGAATTAATTCATAGGAAGAAGAGGAGGTCACTTTTGGAAATAAACAAAGCTTTGAAAAGATACTGCTGGCATGCTAAGCATAGTGCTGTCCGTTAGAAGCACCAGAAGGTTCTAATCTCATCTCTTGGCCAAGAAAATGCCAGGTTTTTAAAGAGGAAAAAGTGGATTTCAAGTAAATGGAATAGGGATGGGTTTGAGGATTAGCCTGAGCTGGAGGCTGTAATTTTTTCCAAGACTTTTATGACCTGCAAGATGTGGTTTGAAAAATCAGATTATAATACTTGTGCAAGGAAGTACTTACAGATTGGCCAAAGAATCCTCTTTGGGGTTTTCCTCTGTTATGACCGGCTAGAGAAGTGCTAAAAACTAACTTTTCTTGTAAAGGGGTATTCAAGTCATTAAAGCTCTCTTTTCTTGCCCATCAGTTCTACAGGTTGCTTTCTTTTGTTCTGCAAATGTATTCAGCACACGCGATCTAATGTTACGATATTAAATACGTATGCTGAGCTATAAATTGAAATTGCAAAGGATCTTTCTGTGTTTTGGTTGATAAGTCAACAGTGCTTCTTCCATTACATGCGGAAAGACTTCAAGCCAAAATAAACATAACACTATTCATACAATTAGCAACTGCACAATTGTGTTTTGTGTGTGCATTATGGGTGGAGGGACACAGGGACTCTGGTCTAGATGGGGATGCTGGAGGAAGAGGGAGTGAAGGGGCTTTAAACCTTTGGTCCCAGTCATGGGTGGTGTACCTCCATGTGTACAGGCATGGCTTAGTTGTAAGCTCTCCTTACAGGTGAGGGCCAGGGCTTTTTTTGTCATAGAACATACCGGAACAGCGTTCTGGCACCGTTTTTTGATGGATTTTTCCAGTGGAGTGATTTTGAATCGCCTGCGGGCTGCTTGTGTGTCCGTGCTGATTGTGAGGGCGCTGCTCGGCTTGGGCTGCTGCTCGGCTTGGGATCGGTCTTGTGGTCGCGCGCTGAGTGCTTACTGCCGGCGGCGACCATTATGTTTGTGTGTGTAGAGTGACTAGCTACGTGCAAAAGGTAAATAAATTCTTTATTTCAAAAAAAAAGTTGGTGAATTGAAAATCCTTTTTAGTGTAAAAGTGTGACTCCAAGACGTGAGTTCCGGCACCTTTTTTTTTTTTTTTTTAACAAAAAAAGCACTGGTGATGGCTAATGGAGATTGAGATTGGATTGGCCAATTGTTCCATTTGTATCCCTCCAAGGATCCTCAGGCTGCTTATATAATCCTTCTCCTCATTTTATGCTCACAACAGTCTTGTGAGGTTGCTTAGGCTGGCCCAAAGTCCCTCAGTGAGCTACATGGCATCTCCTGGGCTCACCTGATCCTCGAACCACTGGCTTTCTGTGAAACTCTGGCCAGATTTTGCAGGCTAATGTTAGTCACAAATGTTGTTGTTTTGATTTGACGAGTGTCTAACTTGCATGCTATATGTGTGCTAATATTGGCATTGGTTTCTGTTTGTTTTTTTACAGGATCCAGCTGGTGAAGGTTACAGAGAGGCAATTGAAAACGAACACTTTCATCTGGAAGGTACCTTGAAAACTAATAATCCGTGAATTGCTTGACGCTGTGCCTTATTTATGCAAAGGAAGCACTCTGGGCTTAGAAGGTATATGCACTTATGTGAATGTGTAGTGCAGGGATAAAGGAAACCCCTTTTGTGGTGTCTTCCATCAGTCAGAGGAAGAGGTATGTGTGATGGAGTTTTTGCTTCCTATCTGAGAACCCTAAGTAGGGCTATAGGTTGCATCTATAAATTTAAAATAAATAAATAAATAAAGAAAGAAAGAAAGAAAGAAAGAAAGAAAGAAAGAAAGGGAAACCATTGGTGCAGTGCACAATCAGAAGGGATGATTGAGAAATCTGTTCACTTCACATTTTAATGCAATTGTTCCTCAGAGTGCAGTTTAGGCAAACACAGAACCGAAAACTGGGCTATTCTTCAAAATTTGCAAGTCCCCAAATCTTTGCAGCTGAGTTCGCCACTCACAAAATGATCACATTAGTTGATGCAGTGTGCAAAAATCTTATAGTTCATGCACCAAGACTAGTTTGGTTCCTTCTCTGTTCACTTTATGTAAGCAGTCTAAAACGTTTGAATTCCAACAGGCGTTTGGGGAATGGACCATGAGTTTGTGCTGAGTTACTGGAACAGTTAGTTTTACTGTTACTGGTTTTGTACTATTTTTAACCCAGGTAGTTTAATTTTAATATTTAATTGATTTAATTATATTTTTAACTTTTATGTACTTTTGAATGTATGGAACTTTAATGTTGTGAGCTGTTTAATGGTATAAGCAGATACAAATATAATGTTGTGAAAGTGACATTCAAGATACTGTATGGTTAGGAAATTTGTTTGCAATGCACATGGCTATCGAACAAACTGTGTTAAAGTATACGTATTGGGAAAAACTTATACCAAAATACATACTCCAATTTTCATGAGAATTTTTTTTTAATTTTACCACTTAGCACAAACTGAACTGAAGATGGGAGTGAAATGGACTTAAGGCTGAAATGAATTTAAGACTGGAAAAATAAGAAACTTAAATTGACAAATATTGAATTTAAGCATTCAATATTTAGGGTGAAATGAATTTAAAATGGGAAAAATAGGAAACTTGAATTGACGGATTCATTCATTCCTAGAGACTAAAGATTTTGTGTGTCATAACAGCAGGAGGCACTTGTCCCAGATATGATATTTTATACTCTCCCTTCTAAAAAGACGTTCTTTAAAAAATAATAATATTGAAAAGAGTTCCAGCCAGCCTTTCCCCCAGTCATGCCATTCCTCTGTTCCTTTGCAACGTGCCTTGGCGATTCCATAATGGCCAAGAATTCACAATCTATTGGACTGGGGTATGTGGGAGGGTGTTTTCCCCCTCTGAAGTTTTCTTTTATCATCTCCCCCTCTTTTTGATCATCTACACACCTTGAGCTTCTCTCAGCATCCTGAAAACTCCTGAATACGCAGTGGCCCTGTCTGGGCTTCCCAGCCTTTGGCACCTGCCACCTGAACCTGCTAGTAGAAGGTGCGACTGAAGCAGAAGCCCCTGAAAAAAAGCGTGAAGTACTTTTGCACTGGACACTTGCATTTATTTCTGTGGCCTGCGAACACCAGACATATGTATCTAAATCACAGTATTGCCTTGAGCAGTAGATTACGGAAGGCAGCAAAAGAGCCCCCTTAAGGCAAATATAATTTCCAACATATGATTTTCTCTAACTAGCCAGGAGCAATCCTATCATTTAGGTAGTAAAACACCTTTCCTGGTGCTTTGTGTGCACAACCATCAGTGCTAAATGTTATAAGGAAAGCAGAAAGACCTTTTCATGCCAGAAGACTCCTTCCCCATGCTTTCTCCGCAGAGGCTAGGCAGGCAGACGCTTGTTTTGTAGGTTTCCTTTTTCCTTTTCTTCTTCTTTCTTCTTGAATGGATGCTTTGATGTCTCTTAGGAAGAGCCAGTGCAGTGTGGAGGGACTGCATGGTCCTCTCAAGCCCTGGCCACGTGCCCAGTTTGGACGGAAGATGGCAGAACGGGATGGCATAGGGAGACATGCAGAGAACATGTGGAGCAAGGCTAAGGAGCCGCCTAGCAAGGCCAGGATCTGCCTGGACCCCAGGCTAACGTCCAGAGCTGACCAAGAAACATGAATAACCTGGCCAGGAGGAACCAGCAGGTTGATGCATCCACACACGCTCCTCAGTTCCTCCAGCAACCTGCTCGCTCTTCCTGGTCAGGTTACACCATGAGCTTTGGCCTCATGCAGACCAGGTGGTGGTGAGCATGAGTCAAACTCTGGAAGTCATTTCTTCCTCTTGTGGACCACTGTCTGTGATACCTTCCTGACATTTCCAGGTTGTGTGGCCAAACTAAACTACCAAGGACCATGGCCTCCTGCTTTGGCCAGCATCCTCACCCAAGTCTCCCTTTGGATGGTTCCCTCATCTTCAAGACTCTGGTCTCTGATGGTCCCTCCTGCTGGATTGATCTACCTGTCCAAAGCAGAGGACAATCATTTCCCTCCAATGGGCACTTGACTCGCATAAGCTCTTTTATATGTATACATTGCCCATCTAGAAATGATGGTTCAGATTTCAGTAGAGCTCACCATAGTAAGGAGATGGACGGCATGAGCTGGTGGGCAACTTCCAGTCTCCTTTGAGGGTGTTTCATCCTTGTACTGCACAGTCCTTGGGGTTGAGGCAGCCTCCAACACTGGGGACACTCCTTTGGCAGGCCTAATAATGGTCCAAGAAGGCACATCGCCACCCCAACTCTGTGCTCCTTCCAATATTTGGCCCGATCCTGCCAAGATTCCAATTTTAGCTCCTTGCGGCCTGGTGCTGAGTTCCATTCTCAAGGATGAGCAGCACATTGTCAATCCTACCCTAGAAATCATTATGCCCATTTCTTGCTCTTGTGGACCACTGTCGGTGATCCCTTCCTGACATTTCCACGTTGGGTGGCCAAAATAAACTACCAGGTGCCACGACCTCCTGCTTGCATAACTGGTCAGATCAAGTCCCGAAGAGTCCTGATGCGGCAAGCCTTTCTTGGCTTTTGATCTCGGGCTGGGATTGGCTCCACAGCCTCAGAGTCTGAGTCCAGGACATGCTCCACAGCAGAACTGCAGTGAGGTGACAAAGTAGCCACTAGGTAAATCCTTGTTTTTGTTTTCACGTCGTCCGTGTCATTGCTCCTTCCAGCCGTCCCGCCTGTGCACATGCAACACGCTCACAGGCGCACACGTGTGAGTGTGCGCACATGGACACGCGTGATTGTGAGCAACCTATGTGAGCAGCAGAGATAAAAAGAACGGTCTGATCGGTCCGGAAAAGAAGCTGGATTTAACTTCTGGGTTGTTAATGTAAAACTCGATCAAATCCTTTTCGACTTAGCAGACTTAACTGGTCAACAGTAAAAGACTCTGGATTCCGGGATTAAGATTGTATTTGGTAAGAGGACTGATGCATTAGTGCTTTTCTTTTGAACTGTGGAAAGAACAAAGTAAACATCAAAGGCCTTAAGCCAGGAGAGAGGGCTGTTGACCCAGAATTCAAGCTTGACAAGGGGCTAGGATGCAACGGGGACTGTTCTATTTACCGAGCGGCAGGTGGAAAAAAACGGTGGGACCACCATCGCCTAGTTCAACCCGTGCTTTTCTTGGTTTCGTTAGGCCCTGTAAATTTGGGATGCTTGGGCGGTTGCACCGGGCAGGCTGAGGTCCTTGGTGATTAACGTTCACCACGAGTGTTTATAGCTTCACCAGCTCCTGCTAGTGGTGCTGGACTGCTCTTTCCTTTTGCTTGGATTTGGAGGTTGTTCATAGCTGGAATCTATGACTGCCAAGAGCATTAAAAAGAGTAGTGAGGCAGAGCTGGCTGTAGGCTTTGGCAGTGGCTTCTCCTTCGCACCACCAGGGCCACCGGCTGGGTTCTTGCTAGTGGTCTCAGATGGGATTTGTACCCTTGGCAGATGCCCAGTCGTACCTGGCAGATAACCAACCATGGATGCTACTCTGCAGCAGAAGGTAGGCCAGGATTTCTGGTAAAGTCCTCCCCCTCAGAATGAACCCTTGTCTGCCCCCAGACCTTGGATCCTTCTTGGTCTCTTACAACCCTACTCAGCTATGATTCAGTGACCCATACTAAGGCACAGTCCTCCTTTAGTGCCCATAAGTGACCTTGCGTTCGGCTGGTGATGCAACCTAGAGATGGGTAGATGGGCTGAGATGGATGGAGGGACTGAGGGGCAAGAGTGAGGCTGGCCAGGGAACAACAGAGGAAAGGGGAACTCACGAAGAAGCTGGGGAGGAAGGAGGAGGAGGAAAGAAAACAACTGGAAAGGGGAGCCTCTGAGGGCAGGTGTGTCTTTGATGAGCAGCTAGTTTGTCTTGCACCCAGCTTTGCAATGGGTGAAGGTCATGCATGCAGGTGAGGAGCTAAGCTTGCTGCCAAGAGTAGGGATTTCAGGGCAGAACTTCAGAGAGTCTTGTGGGTGAATAATTGCAGAGACTTAGTGTGTTTCCAAGGTAGTGCAATGGGTGGAATGAACAGAACAGAAGAAAAGCCAGAAGGGAAGCACCAACTCCAGGCTGGAAGGAAGGAAGGAAGGAAAACAAACAAGCAAATGCAAAAAAGAGAAACCTGTCCTCAGAGGTGCCAAAAAAAAAAAAAAAAGAATTTATTGCAGCCTAATGCTTTTCAGGTCAGGGAGATTCTTCACGAGTGCCAATCGGTCACACTTTGGAGAGAGGCTAACGGCTCATTCAGCTTGTGTTGCATAGGTACTGTCTGACATCTGTTCTCACGTGAGCACCTGCGCCTTTCCCCCAGCAGCCCTGTTTCCAGCACCTGCGCTGCAGTGCCCGTCACGCGTTTCCACAAAGGGGGGAGGTGCGCCATGCCTCCCCCACACTACAAGAAAGCGGGGCCAGGGTGCAGATTCAAAATGCGTGTGCTGGTGGATGCGTAGAGATGCATGCAGGTGTGCACGGGATGGGTGTGCAGAGGGTTTCT